AAATGAAATAGGGAATATGTCGTTTCAGTGGAGCTTTAGGCTGAGTAGACATAGTAGGTTTGATAGCTTTAATGGACTGCAACCGGCTTTTCATTCAACAGGCAGTTGTAGTCCATTAAAATTCTCAAACCCGAAATAAAGAACTTTGGACAGAACATGAATTGAAAAAAGTCCGTTTTAAACTAGCATTACTAAAAGCGAACCTCCTTATAAATATTTTCAACATCGTGTTTCGTACATCTGATGTAAAAACATAATTATGTGTACATACAGAGCACAAGAGAAACCATTTTAAATAATTACAAGTGTTATTATCAATTCTTCCTAACTTAAATTGTTGTTAAGTGTTTGTTATTTTAAAGCACTTGATATGTTTGTGAGTGTCGTCTAAACCAACTGCGCCGAATATACGACACGTGAACTATTCATATCCTAAATTCAAAACTTGTATATTGTTCGAAATATAGAGTATAATATCTATTGTTACAACGTTTCATCAGGTTAAACTGGCATCATCAGGTACAAAAACTACAAGGAGTGAACTCCCGATCTGAATATAGAGTATAATATCTATTGCTACAACGTTTCACCAGGTCAACCTTGTATCATCAGGTACAACAACTACAATGAGTGAACTCCTCCCGATCTGAATATAGAGTATAATATCTATTGTTACAACGTTTCATCAGGTTAACCTGGCATCATCAGGTACAAAAACTACAAGGAGTGAACTCCCGATCTAGATAATACGAAAAACTAACAGATGGATATATAGGTATTTGATTGGTTGACTACAGAACGTAAAAATGATGCTGGACATGTTCAACCAATTATTGCTATATTTTTATACATGAGGAGTCTTGGCCAAAAAGATCAACTGGAAATCAGTCAAATTAATATATAAAACTGGAAATTATGCCAAAAGAAATATTGTGGAAGGTTTGTTAATTCAAAGGTTGCGAAACTTCAAACATCATTGAAGGTCAATTTTAAGTAATACCTCCTCTCTGACGTTATATGCCCTTAAATGACTTGGAAGTTACGTTACAAAATAAAAAATGTATGTGTTTCTCTCAAAAACTAGTCGTTGCACAAAAGAAGACATATGCAAATGTCGAAAACAGTGTACAAATCTAATTAGTTTTGTTCCGAAATAGTGGTTCAAAACATTATCCTAGATTTTATGTGGTATTGTGTTTGTTTGTTTGTTTGTTTTGGAATTTCGCGCAAAGCTACACGAGGGCTATC